ATCATAAAACTGCCTAACCCGCAGGCAGACCGATGCGGAAACACGAGAGAAGACGCACCTCTCTAAGGTCTGAGGCAGTGACGTCGCTGCAGGGCCTCAGGGAGCAAGAGGGTCCTCGTGAGGACATTCCCACCACCTGTGACCTGGACAGGCTCCCGGGAGTCTGCTGGGCGCTCAGGGTCGACGGCTCCGGGAACAGCCCTCACTCGCCCGAGAAACTGAAACTGTAGTTTAATTTCTTCCCACAGAGACGGGCCCAAGCCCAGGAGGCTTCGCCGGGAAGCCCCACCAGACACTCGGGGAGGAGCCGGACCCAAACTCTTCCAAGACTTGCTCCTCAACTCGGTCTGGGAGGTAAGACGTCCCCTGATTTGCCAAAACCAGACAAAGACATTCCAGACGGAGAGCGAAGGCCGAGCCCAGGGAGGGGGCAGTGATCTCCGGGCCCGGCCTGGGGTGAGGCGGCTCATTCCCTTGACGGTGGCAAAGTCTCCACCGGACACACGTCACAACATACCACGGAGCACAAGATGGGTCTGTGCACCTGTCCAGCGTTAACTGTGCCTTGGTGAGGCTTTTTTTCCCCTAAAAGGAAATTCATGCAGACAAAGGTCAGAACAGGGGACAGTCGGCTGCGTAGCTGGTCCTGCAGAGCTCGCTGCAGAAGCAGAGGTGACCCCGGGTTCCCAGCGCGGGTGCCGGACGGGTGACCACTGGGACCAGCCCCTGCGCTGAGCACTCCGAGGGCTGGCGGCCTGGACAGGGCGTGGTCCTGTCTCCCACATGCAATCGGTGGGCAATCAGCTCGGGGACACCCGGTCTCAAGTGTCCTACAAGGGAAGACAAGGAGCATCCGGGGGACACGGAGGGCGGGCTGACCGTCCTTCACCCAAGATCTCTGGGTGAGTTCTGGGGGGGTGAGTGCCTCCCATTTCTCTGCCCCTCAGGGTGCTGAGAAATCAAGGGGAGGGGCAATAACATCGAGAATAAACTGATCAAATTAGGAGGACAGCTGGCCCAGACCCGTGTCGGAGCTAGAAAAAGGGACCCGAGACTTCACACCTTGCTGACCGGCTATTTTTAGTCAAAACTCGCCCGTGCGGCTGGCTACTTTTCAGTCGTGACCAGTCCAGCGAGGTGTTTAAAATTAATTAACATAAGTGCAGACAAGAGTTATCTCGTGACCCGTCAGCAACACTTGGACATGGAGACACGTCTGTACTCGTGACCTGTCAGCAAGGTGTGTAACCCGCCAGGCAGCCGCCGCCTCACTAACGGGCGGCCGCTCCGACCTGCGCGGGCCGACTGCTGACCTGAGGTCCCTCTGGATCGGCTACGTCGTTCGCGGCACCTGAAGAGAAGCCGGTGACTAGGGAGGAAAAGCGTGGTTCCTATTTTTCAAAATTAGTTTCAAGAAAGATTTCAAGTTGTGGATGATATCAGTTCCCAATACACGGGCCTCGGGTAAGACCCACTGGCTCTGACACCGGCACTGAGAGCAGCTCCACGGTATTATTTTCAACAGCAGCGAAGTGTCACCACAGACACACGCCAAGCGGGGATGGGGGTGCGGCTCCCAGAGCTCAGGACTCACCCGCATTCAAGACCCCGAGGCGACCGGCCCAGGCAGAGGACACGGGTGAGACATTCAATGTCTCAGGACAAGGCATCCACTTCAGCAAAGTTTAACTGCTTTTAAATCAAATTTACCAATAAAGGTATTTTTATAAATACATCTCATCTTCATGTGCACCCCAAAGCGGCCTGTTTAACCCTGGACTAAGTTCAGGAGACCTGAGTGCTGGGCTCTGAAGGCCAGAGAAGCCCAGGGGTCTCTCCAAGTCCCCAAGTAAGTGGGAGACGAGGGCCCGGGGTCCCCAGTGCCCAGCCCTGGTTCCCAGCAGCGGTCAGTGCCGGGGACCCCACTGGCCCCACATGTGCCTTGTGGCCTCTGTTTCGAGTCCTTCCTGTTGTCGAGGGCACCTCCCAGTCACAGCGGTAAAACCTCCCACTCAGCCGCTGGACGCAGGGCCTGTCCAACCGAACGGCCAACTCTCACCCAGTTTCAGGCCGATGAGGACATCGGCTCTGGAGACTGGAATCCATCACTGTTTGTGTTGACATTTCCGATGCTGAACCTTGTCCAGTCTGCCCAACACCCACTTTTCGTAATAAAATCCCGCTTCCTCCCGCAGGTCAGGCGCCTGGAGCCCCTGCCTGCCCCCGGGCCCCCAGCAGCCGTCCTGGCCCCCGAGGCGGCCCAGGCCTGGCGGGGAGACGTGCCCTCCCGCGTGTGCACCCAGACGCTCCAGGGGCCCGTCCTCAATACGCAGGGAAACCGAGTCACAGAACCGAGCAGGGAAGGAAGTTGAGCGACGCATCAACCCCCAGTCTTCGGAGGCAGCGGGTGGGCCCTGGATGAAGCGCCGTGATTCAGACCCACAGGGACTGAGATGCTTTCCCGCCACAGCCACTCCCTGGACTCACTAAACCCGCAAAGGAGGGCGGGAGCTCTCGTGTGAAACGCAGCTAAACCGCCGAGTTTCTAACTCTCCAAACACGCATTTTCAAGCAGCACCACGGTGGGTCTCGCCACCCAGAGCCCGCTCCCTGAGGGTGACGTCGCACGGCGTCTTGGGAACACACTGCCCGAGCCCAGCACGGCTGGCACCTGAAAGCCGGCTGCGAGCCCCGCCCGCCGCACCGGGCGGTGGCAGGAAACACTCGGTCCGTCGCTCCGTGAAGATCAATCCCAGCAGCCCCTTATCCACAGGGGCCACGTCCAAGACCCCCCGTGGGTGCCTGAAGCCACCCCTAGGACCGAACCCTGTGCTTTTTCTCTACATACACACCTGTGATCGTTTATAAATCAGGTGCGAGGGAGATGAGTAACTAATAGTAAAATAGAACAGTTATAACAACATCCTGTAAGAGGGTAAGTGAAGGGGTCTCTCTGTCCAACACCCTACGCCGTGGTCCCCTCCGGCTTAAAGGAAGCGCCTTCCGGCTTCTCGCTGGCGTGTCTGGACGGCCCGCCACACTACGCTTGTGCTTTGGGCCGCCGGTGAGTAAAACGAAGGTGACGTGAACACAAGCACTGCCACGTAGAGACAGCTGACCCCACAGCTGACGGCTACTCGGTGACTAACGGGCGGGGAGTGTGCCGCGGGGAGACGCTGGACAGAGGGCGAGTCAGGTTCCCAGGGACGAGGCAGAGTGAGGTTTCGTCAGGAGACTCAGGACAGCCTGCAACTCAAAACTTACAAACTGTTTATTTCTGGGATTTTCCATTTGGATTTTCGGACCGAGCTGGCCGTGGACCGAGACCGTGGGCACCCGAAACCACGGAACGCAGGCCCGGGAATGAGGGTGGGGGGTGTTGCTGTACCAACACCCGCACATTTAAAATATTCTTCGGGTACTTTTCAAACACCGTGGAGCTGTGATAACACACATTTGACTTCATCATAGCAGCGAATTTAGAGTGAAATAGGAATTTGTTTTAGTCAAGCCAAAGGCTCCAACTTACAGACCGCTGTCCCCTCCCTCACGCACGCGTGTCCGGCAGAGCCGGGGACACGGGGCCTTCACGTCCACTGACCCTGTGAACCTGCTGCCCAAGCAGAGGCCAGCCTGGGATCGGGGAGTGGCCTCGAGAGGCAGGAGGGGGTGAGGCCCTCCCAGCACACAGCTCCCTCCACCGCCCGCCGGCCAGGGTGGTTCCCACCTCGGCCCACCTGTAGCGGGAATCAGGGTCTCCCGAGGCTGGGTGCCGAGGGGTCCCCAAAGGAGGCTGGCGAAGAGGGAGCTGGGCCTCAGGGGACTGGTCTCCAGGGGACAAAGGGGGGATGAAGGGACCTCCTACCTGTGTGAACATGGGCCTACGGACAGGCGTCCACTCGCCCAGAGGCGCGGGGGTCCCGAGCCCACTGTGCCCGCCTCCTGCGGCCCACAGGGTGGCCCACCGGCGGCGGGTCCTCATTACCCCTCCCTCTCTGGGCCCCACCTGACCAGGTGACCCCTGAGGCAGGAACCACACAGGGCACAGCCACAAACACTCCGAGGTGACGGGAAAATTAGGGGTGGGAGCAGCTGTGTATCCGGCGGGCAGATGGTGGCTGGGGGGACGGGACACGACGCCTGCCCCTAGCCCCTGCCGCTCTGGGCCAGCACAGGGTTGCTCTGCAGCGTCACCTGCCTGGGCCGCCCGTCCACACCCCAGGCCCCTCCAGCACCAGGGTTTTCTGTCCCGCGGACGGCAGTCTGGGATAAGCCAGCGGCTTCAGACTGACCTGGACCACGGGACGGGTGTCAGTTTTGCAGAGGTAACTCCCATGACCTCACAGGGGAGGCCACAGGGAAGGAAAGCGGCTGGGGAGGAGGGCAAGGGGGCGTGCAGGGGCCCAGGACCCCAAGCAGGACGGAAGAGGGGGGCAGGAGGGGCCGAGTAAAACTGCCCTTTAACATCAGCTTTCCATTATTATGGTGACTAACTTCTGTGTTGAGATAGAAGCTTCTGAGCGGAGTGAACAGGACTTGGCACTGAAGGTGCCTGGGGGGGGG